CGTTAATCTCCAGTAAGGAATACGGGCAAAAAGGTCAAAGGGCGAGTGCAGGTCAACCGCAGCGGGCGGTCCTCTGGGTCCAAATTCCATAAATGGTATCACTACGAAAATAGCATACAGGGTGAGCTATCTTGGAGGGCGTGGTTGGTCAACAAAACTATTAGAAATCACGACAAATTGTTGAAGGAGTATCAGGGCCCTCGCCCACTGCAACTTTTTGTCGCGCGTTTCGTAAACAACAGCATCGCTACTAGCACGCGTTAGTCGCATTTGCAACGCACTACAGAAGTGATGCCAACGCGCTACTAACGAGTTACAGCAGCGCGGCTGCATCGCTACAAAAAGTCGCCGTGGACGAGGGCCCTCAGAGCCAGTTTTGGTCAATAACAATAGTACGAAATTGGAATTCCATAAAATGTTTTAGGTACCTACTTACTCAAACCGAGTAGAAATTATTGTGAAGATAGAGTCCTGGAGAATAGGTGTACAGGTAAACTAAAGAGCAAAAATATTGTTTTGGATTAAGGCAACAAAATAATTCAACTGCGTATTCAAGATTCTAGGAACGCTAGTTCAATCCCCGTCAATTACTGGACTATTGCGGTGAACCCACTCATAACACAATACATACTTACGTACACATTATTGTTTGCTTAGAGGAGTTAATTTGATTCGACAAATTGCTTGTTACACATTTGGTTGCCTAAATACGTATGGGATGCTTTTATGTATTTGCTTTATTGCGTAAAGGAGTAACAAATATCCTCATAAATACTCCTTTATACTTATTAAGCCACGAATACTTGAAAGATTCACCCTGTATACTATACACACTTGCTTATTATGGTAGCGTCTAAGTGCGACGGCCTCGCATCAAAAGGGACTCTTATAATGACATGGACATACTTACGCGCATTCTTCGTAGCGTAACCTTTTTTATTAGGTTCAAGATGTAATAGGTATTAGTATTTTTAGTTCTGGTGCTTGTCTGCCTGTGGGTAAAAAATCAAAATTTGATTACCTTACAACAATAATTGAGGTAAAAACTTCACTTAGGTTCTCTAGGCTTCATTAGTGCGGGAAAATTTGAGAGTCGAGGTCGTGAGGAAAAACAAAAGAAAAACGTTTTCGTAAATAAAAAAAAGAATGACGTTTCTCGGTGGCTAGTGGCCAAGGAATGCAGCTTTTAATGCAATAAAATCACAACCGTACTCATGAAAATTAATAAAACAAAAGATTATAAAAACAAATGTTTTATTTGAGTAAAAATTAATAACCAAGCAACTTTAAACGAAACTGAGCGAAATAATAATTAATTTTGTTCTGTTATACTAACACCAAACTATTAAATGGAAAGTTGGAACATGATTATGTGGAACAGTCCGTTTTGAAGGAAAAGTTTTAATGAGCAAAAGACGAGCTATTGAACTAGTCTAGAAGAAGGTACATACTTGTACACTAAACAAAGGTCGTCAAACTTTTAGATCTCATGAAATAACCAACATTTTACTAATTTAAGATTGCCATTAATACTTCCTTCACGCCCGTTTAATTTCCACAACTATGTCATTGATATGGATGTTTTTTAACGTAGGAAATCTTACGCCCGTTGTTAGCGACGCGATTAGCAAANCGATCTGGTAAAGGTCGCGGGAAGAGCCTGGATGCGGGCAGCGCAGGACCGTTCATTGTGGAAAACCTTGGGGGAGGCCTTTGTCCAGCAGTGGACGTCATTTGGCTGAAACGAACAACAATAATTGAGGTAAAAACTTCACTTAGATTCTCTAGGCTTTACGAGTATTAGCAGGCCTGTTCATCTCCGCGAGTTTACATCGAAAACATAACACGCACGATGGCCCACCTACAGGATACTATTCGACAAGGCCTCACATACGAGCGAACATTGACTCACGCACACGTATTCTTGTGTATGATGGAAGAAAATAAAGAAAATAGTGTATTAAATACTGTGCAGTATTTAACTGCCTAAATAATAATAAAAAAACACAATGTACTTTTTTAAGTTGCCTCAAGACACTGAGAGGTAAATAAGTAGTTTTATTCATGATAATTCATGCTAAATCATGTATTTCCTCCGCCATTTTCCGCAGTTTGGCACCTCACGTCACATCATTTTACCGAAGTCAGCCCTATAGCTTCGGCGCAGTGCCGATCACTACACCATATTGTTAATGACATTGAGCATACATTTTTTTAAATACCTTCGCGAAGTAAAACTTCTGTACGTAGTAGGTAGGTACCTACTTATTATTATTCTGTGGTATTAGTGCGGGATTTGAGAGTCGAGATCGAGAGGAAAAACAAAAGAAAAACGTTTTCGTAGATAAAAAAGAATGACATTTCTCGGTGGCCATAGTGTTGCGTGGCCAAGAAGTGCAGCCTTTAATGCAATAAAATCACAACCGTACTCATGAAAATTAATAAAACAAAAGATTATAGAAACTAAGCGAAATAATAATTAATTTTGTTCTGTTTTACTAACACCAAACTATTAAATGGAAAGTTCCGATTATGTGGAACAGTCCATTTTGATGGAAAAGTTTTAATGAGCAAAAGACGAGCTATTGAACTAGTCTAGAAGTAGGCACATACTCGTACACTAAACAAAGGTCGTCAAACTTTTAGATCTCATGAAATAACCAACATTTTACTAATTTAAGATTGTCATTAATACTTCCTTCACGCCCGTTTAATTTCCACAACTATGTCACTAATATGGATGTTTTTTAACGTAGGAAATCTTACGCCCGTATTAACAAAAAATACTATGAGGTCTCACAGTGCGCGTGGACGTACAGGGTGACACACGAACCAATCACAGAGCTCTATTCAACGCTGTGCGTTCGATTTGCTGCTTCACTTAAGCAAGCATCGTGAATACGGCTATCCCGTAGTACCCTAAGCATGAGACGGTCGCATGAGACCTTAGTAACAATCGATTTCTATTGTGTCTCGTTTCACTGGTACTTGAAGGGTGACATGTCTAAACAGGAGTAATTAAGCATGTTAGTATATCCGTTGACTAATATAAAATGTCCTAGGATAATTATTTAAATTGGCATCCATTACGATCCATTAGCACATTTTCTATGTAAGATACAGTTACCTAGATCTTCTTACTTAATCTGATAACACCAAAAGAAAAAGTCTACATAGAGTCTATTTTGGCTTAGACATCAATCGCAAGTCGTATCCAAAAAAGGTAACTAAGTACTCGAAACACATTAACAGTGATAAAACATGCAAAAGGTAGAGAAGTATAGTAACAATTGTGTAATAGAGCGACAGACAAACAAAAGGTTTCAACTAATCGTGGGTAAAACATTACTTTCTTTTGAATCATTTATTGACCAAAAAGCTCGTAAGTCAAGTTCTTTTTAAACTTGGACCAAAATAATACTACGACAATTTTTTTTTCAGAATATAAACTGTTTAATATCATTTATATAAAATATGCATTCATTATCATTGATCTTCAACTAATCACAGGACTGCAGCCATGCTTGAGTGTGAGTCGAGCTTTTATAATGTAACGACATAATAATCAACCTATTTCCCTATTGCTTATAAAAATAACTTTCATATACAGTTTCGTGATTGTTTTGATACTTTTTTGTGAACCCTACCTTATTCCACCGCCGCTATCAATCGATTAACATAGAATCATTGGGGGAGGCCTATGTTCAGCAATGCATGTCCTATAACTGAAATGATGATGATGATGATGATGACCTTTTTCCACCACGTGAAGCGATCACTAAATTCAATGGCACTTTGTTTACAGTGTGGACTCTACACTGTAACTTCCAACAAACAAAATGAAAAAAAAAAAAAAACCATTAAATAACAGTAGGGTAAGGACTGGTTGTAGATTCTAACTTGTACCCTTTATTTTATGAAAACTGAAAACATCACCGCATCCTGGGTGAAACGAGGTCGTTCAGGATATAACGAACTCTCTTGACTAATGGCACGCATTTTCATACAGAAAGTGTTTTGACCTTTTGCCTGAGATCTATACATGGTGTTAGGTAAATGGGTACATGAGCCGACACTAGCCCATGTTAACATGGGCATATAAATGGTATGGTGAAATTGGTGAAGTCAGAAATTTATTATCATCATTTATTTTTTTAAAATTTTCATACAAATTAATTTTTATAAAATCCGATTTGTATGAAAATTAAAATGAAGATATCAATTTTCTGACTTCACCATACCATTTATATGCCCATGTTAACATGGGCTAGTGTCGGCTCATATACCCATTTACCTAACACCCTGTAGAGGTAATAGTATGTCTACCCACGCCCTATCGTAGTAGCATCTACGTCTCAAAGGTAGGTAGTCGTAAATAAGTAGTAGTAAAAGATTTAGAGAACTATTTTACATGAATTTATAGCAGTGCAGGGGGAATGTGAGCTTAATTAATTATGAAGATATTTTAATAGCTTAATCTAAAACGAGATATTACTGTAAAATTTTCAGGTTGAGTAGGTACTTCCTAATAAATGTAAAATGAAATAGTTTCAGTATATTGAAAAATAATCTAATAAGCTCATGTTATTTTAAATCAATGTACCTAGTCTACCTACTTATTAAGCCTACCTCATGGTTTAATGTTCTTGAATTTGTAGGCATGAAAACTCTTGGCTTATGATTAATTTATAACCTAAATCTTTGTGTGCTGCTCTAAAGCAAAAATGCGGCCGATACCAAATTTCAATTTGAATTCAGCAATAAACGCCGTAGGCAAACACCCGTCCATAATCATAAAGGGAACGGATCGGAAAAAACATGCCAAACACCACTTAAGTCATTAATAATCGCGTCGTAAAACGGGAAAATTTCAATGGATATCCCATCGTCGGCCGGTTATCCATTAAATAAATTTTATTCGTGTGATAAGGCGCGGGGCGGGCGGGCGGCGGCGGCCGGGCGGGCGCCGGCGAGACGCCCTAGTAGTCTTCGGCCGTCGCTCGCGCCGCGACCACGCTCCGCGACAACGCGACAACGCGCTAAATTTACACGCCAGTGACTCTGATACACCACCGCTGACCCACTGATAGTGTAGTGCTAACCCAGTGTGAGTGACCCCCGCCCATTGCGCCCGCGACACACCAGTAAGTACACTCTCTGATCACTCTGACATGTTGTGTCTTAATCACCCGACAAGCTGTTACGGCCATTTTATAGAATGCGAACGTTCAACCTTGAATGTGTACAGTATTTTGGTCATAGTAACTTCTGCTGATATCTTCTTTCGTATGATTTAGTTTCGTCAGTTCAGAAGTTCGGATCGCTTCCGTTTTAAAAATAGCTGGGGAATTTCATTTGGTATGCACTTAGCTGTTGTTTGGATAAGGGCAGTGAGTCTGTTAATATTCTTGGAAGAACGAAAACAAACCACGGAATGATGTCAAGGTTTTGACACCTTGTTACTCACTTACTACTCGGTTTCTCTGCGACTCCGACTATCGTGTGCAGACGCTACGTCGCACTACAATGAGACGTTCGAGCGATTAAAAAACATTCGCCATTGCCAACAGAAGCCAATAAAACATGTCTAAGACTAATTATCTTTGAATGATCTAGGTTTAGGGCATAACATGTTTGCGTTCATACTGATCCAGTTAAGACGGAATCGATGCTTTAGAAAAGCTTTTTTATCATCTGCTGAATCTTAAACTAAAAGCATCAATATTATTTTAATTAATTTACACATAACAATAAAAGTAGGTACCTACTTAAAAGTTCCTTTATCTTCATCCTTTGGTAGTTAACTGGTAGATATTACACTTTAGCATCAAGTTTGAATTGCTATTTTTTCTTCGTTCATGTGCTTTAGATAATTTAAATTATTTGATAAATAACAATCATGTTCATTGATAGAAGAAGTGATCATCAGGTACCAAATTTTTTTTTAATAAAACGTTTAGAAGCCGTTTGTCTGATTTTTCTTAAAAAGATCACTGCCTAGCGATAAGATCGCCTAAATTGTATAATTTCTACTGATTGTCAGTACAGTGTGGTATACAATAACGATTCTATCTATAACAATTATACTTTACAATACGGACTTTAAAACTAATTAATATTCACTGAGGTTAAATACCAATTCGAAAATGCTCTCAAACCTCTGCTTTATTTCAAAGCTGAATAATTTCTTATTAATATGTATCTCGAATTAATTTTCAACCAAGTTCCTTAGAATTCGCTCACAAAGAGAATTAAAATATATTTTACAAGTTGGATTAGGTGCTGTATCTCTTTGTTCAAGTGTTTTTTTTAAACCTAGAATCGAGAAATAAATAATATTTTAATACAATTAACAATCCCTGAAAAAGCTCTGCATTAAATTAATTTGCTATAAGACTAGCTTTTGCCCGCGGCTTCACCCGCGTGAAATTTACTTTGTCACAGATCGTCATAAATTATAGCCTATAATGTTATTCTGGGTTATAAATAATAATACTGTAAAGTTTCATCAAAATCCGTATAGTAGTTTTCGCGTGAAAGAGTAACAAACATCCAGACACCCAAACTTTCGCATTTATAATATTAAAAGGATAGGAAGTAGGATTATTAACATTTTTATAATTTATCATTTCTTACTAAAATTAAATGTAATCCTGTGGATTACTATACTCGTACTCTCTATAAGGAAATACTACTGGTAAGCTTGACTTGATTGGTGGTAGAGCTTGATTAGTCCTCCTACTTATCATTGCTTTTATACAGGTGATATTAAAAACCTAATTCAATACTACGTACCTATTNTGCGTTCACTCTGATCCAGATAAGACCGGAATTGATACTTTAGAAAAGCTAAGCTTTTTATCATTTGCTGAATCTGAAACTAAAAGCATCACCATTATTTTAATGAATTAAGTAAATAATGCAATCCACATAACAATACATTACTTACTTAATTATATTTCTTTTATAGTCATCGTTTGGTGGTTAACTGGTAGATATTACTTTTTGAAATAGGGTTTGAATAATTATTGTAAAACGTTTAGCAGCTGTCTGATTGAGTTACGTTTTACAATACACTGTCAAAGAGATCACTGCCTAGCGATAAGGTCGCCTAAATTGTATAATTTATACTGATTGTCAGTACTGTGTGGTATACAATAACGATTCTATCTATAACGATTATACTTTACAATACGGACTTTAAAACTAATTAATATTCACTTTGAGGTTAAATACCAATTTGAAAATGCTCTCAAACCTCTGCTTTATTTCAAAGCTGAATAATTTCTTATTAATATGTATCTCGAATTAATTTTCAACCAAGTTCCTTAGAGTTCGCTCACAAAGAGAATTAAAATATATTTTACAAGTTGGATTAGGTGCTGTACCTATCTATTTGTTCATAGAGTATTTTTCTTATTCTTAATACGTAGAATCGAGAAATAAATAATATTTTAATACAATTAGCAATCCCTGAAAAAGCTCTTTGCATTTGATTAATTTAATACAAGATTAAGCTTTTTATAATTTAACCGCCTCTGTGGTCTAGTGGTAAGACTACCTGCTTCGGACGCAGAGGTCCCGGGTTCGATTCCCAGTGGGGGCAGATTTTTCTGTTCGGTTTGGTTGGTGGTAGGGCTTGTTCTAAGTCCGCCTGGCTAGCTACCACCATCTTACCTAAGTCTGTCGCCATAACAACAATGTTAACAGCATTGTTGTGTTCCGGCAGTTAGAGGTAAGATAGCCAGTTCCTCCGTGGTTGAGGATTCCGGGTGAAGCTCGCTTCCACCTTCGGCCTGATCGTCACTTACCATCAGGTGAGATACAGGCCAAGAGCTTCCTCGTTGTGGATAAAAAAAAAAAAAAAAAAAATCATTTCTGACTAAAATTAAATGCAATCCTGTGGATTACTATACTCGTACTCTTTATAAGGAAATACTACTGGTAAGCTCGACTTGATTGGTGGTAGAGCTTGATTAGTCCTCCTACTTATCATTGCTTTTATAAGAGTGTTTTATAACAGCATAGCTATTACTTGAACTACTATACAGGTGGTATTAAAAACCTAATTCAATACTACGTATTTTCCATCTCATTTCGCACCAAATATCATTGCGAGTGGTAAATTAATTACTTACGCAATAATTTTATTCTGAAACGCAAAACGAATATTTATTTTATGGCTTCAGCCATTGTTATCCATGAAAATATTTGAAATGAATATGGTTTTCCGTTTTATGTAATGCACATTATGTTTTTGTAGGTATGTGGGCAGTCGGATCTGATGATGATTTTTTCGGAATAACCCATTTTTCCGCAAGAAGAGCACTTTATTTTTGGAATAAAATTATAATTTTTAGATTGACTATCTCCTATCGTTTTGGTGACTGATATGACCCTGATAGAGGTATGACCCTGGAGTCAAACTCTAGACTAGAAGCCTCTGAATGCGTCTGATATCAGACAGTTTAATGTTTTTCATAACAAGAAGTTATTTTTTTTATTCATGCCTAATCTAGCTTAATTAAATCTACAACAAGTACGCAAATTTTTAAATTTGTTTGTTCCACCTGGGAACCGAATCCAGAGCCTCTCAATCGAGGAATTTAACATTGTAATCACTAGATCATGGAGACACCTCTTGAAGTGCCTTGGACCTTGAATCAAAGCTGAAATGTAATAAATATTTCTCTCTACATTGCTTGAAAGCCTTAATAATTGAAATGATTACTTGATTCCGTTAAATTGCTTTTAAAAGAGGGCGAATAAGGCTCTCTGTAATGTTATGAATAATTTATTCGTTCAAAATAATTTTATTTTATTTTATTTTTCTTTATTCAGAAAACCACAGCTCTTTATAATAATAATACAAACAGGTACTTTTGTTCTTACAGCCAATAATGGATTCTATATATTATTACAATCTCGTAAAAAACAGTCAAAGGGGCAAAAAAAAAAGAAACAGGCTTGCATGCAGGTTGTGTGTGTGTATGTGTGTGTGTGTGTGTGTGTGTGTGTGTGTGTGTGTGTGTAAACAAAATTTGTAGAGAATTTAGTATTCTACAATATTGATAATAAATACAAATAGCAAAAAACCCATAGGAAATGAGATATTTCCAAAAAAAGCGCAAAAAACCTATTTTTGTGACCTTTGACCTTAAAATTTAATAGTTGCTTACACCCTACCATATGTAGGTTTTGAGACAACTTTTAGGGTGTCAATATACAAGTATTTACAGACTTACAGCTGGGTATCTCTAATTCCGAGATTCTTACCTAATTTAAGCTTAAATGACTGGACTAATCTCATTTCGCACCAAATATAATTGCGAGTGGTAAATTAATTACTTACGCAATAATTTTATTCTGAAACGCAAAACGAATATTTATTTAATCGCTTCAGCCATTGTTATCCATGAAAATATTGAAATGAATATGGTTTTCCGTTTTATGTAATGCACATATGTTTTTGTATGTGGGCAGTCGGATCTGATGATGATTTTTTCGGAATAACCCTTTTTCCATTTTTTTTCCGTAAGAAGAGCACTTTCCTAATGATAAACTAACGCCCGTATTCACAAACATTACTATGAGGTCTCACAGTGCGCGTGGATGCACAGGGTGAAACACGGACCAATCACAGAGCTGTATTCAACGCTGTGTGTTCGATTTAATACCTACGGGCGTATTTTGGAACAAAATTATAATTTTCAGATTCACTATCTTCTATCGTTTTGATGACTGAGACGACCCTGGTAGAGGCATAAGCCTGTGTCAGACTCTAGACTAGAAACCTCTTAATGCATCTGATATCAGACAGTTTACTGTTTTTCACAACTCGAAGTCACATTTGATTGTTTCAAGCCTAATCGAGCTTAATTAAACCTACAATAAGTACCTACACAAATTATATTTTTTCGTTCCATCTGGGAACCGAATCCAGGGCCTCTCAACCGAGGAATTTAACATTGTAACCATTAGATCATGGAGACATCTCTTGAAGTGCCTTGGACCTTGAATCAAATCTGAAATGTAATAAATATTTCTCTCAACATTGCTTGAAAGCCTTAATAATTGAAATGATTACTTGATTCCGTTAAATTGCTTTTAAAAGAGGGCGAATAAGGCTCTCTATAATGTTATA